TTTCATAATATTTTTTTATATTATTTTTTTTCCACATCATCACTTTTTTTTCCACATCATCACTTTTTATATTATTATATGACATGTCATCTGGTAACTGTTAAGTAACATGCCACGTCACACAATTTTTAATGGAAGGACCAAATTGGGGTAAAAATGGTAAACAGTAGGGACCAAATCAAGGATTTTTTTAGTTCAGGGACCAAATCGAGGGTCCGTACAATAGTTCAGGGACCAAAAAGGGGTTTTAACCTAATAAATATGGTATCAGGTGGTGTACACTCGGGAGACCAAAGCGCCCGAGGTCGCAAAGCGTATGCAAGGCAGGTGATGGCTGTTAATAAGAACCGCCTCTTAAGCGCCCATTTGAAGAAGCAGAATGGGAAAGCGCACCCATCACATTTGGCCCGGCAGACTATAAGCGAGCAGAAGGAGAGCCCGGCGTTATGATGCCACATTCAGATCCTTTTGTGGCAATGGTTCATATAGGCAACCATAATGTCAACAAGGTCTTCATTGACACTGGTAGTTCGCTGGATATCCTGTACTGGAGTTGCTTTCAGAAAATGCAGCTGAATCCAAGCTTGCTGCAAAAGCATGAAGGGCCTATATATGGGTTTGACAATTAGCCCGTGCCAATTGAAGGAGTTATTACCCTTCCGATCTATGTGGGCTCGGAACCAAGGTTCAGGATGGCTTCCGTTACCTTCCTGGTCGTCAAGATGGAGTCAGCTTTCAACGCTATACTAGGAAGAGCCACTCTTCGCGAGCTGAAGGCTGTCATCTCACAACCCCATCTCTGCATGAAATTCCTAACAACTCAAGGGGTAGGAGTGCTTAAAGGGAATCAAAAGATGGCCAGAGCCTGCTACCAAGATACTTTCAAAAAGGTTGAGCTCACTGCAGCCTCTGTAAGTTCTGAGAATCATAGGCCTACTCAGCCCGGTCAACAGACAATGAGCATATCAGACATCGAGCATCGACCTGAAGGTGTCAAGCAGAAGGCTAAACCGGTAGAAACGGTCCCTGTAAACCCGGATGTGCCAGAAAGGACGATTAATATCGGCACCAGGCTCATAGAAGAAGAGCGGACAGAGCTTTTGGAGTTTTTGAGGGTTAATCAAGATGTTTTCGCGTGGACTACGGACGAAATGCCTAGCATCCCAGCGGAATTGACAGTCCACAAGCTAAGCACGGACCCCACCAGAAAGCTGGTGGTTCAGAAGCGTCGCTTTTTTGGCCTTGAGAAATAAGTTGCCATAGACGAAGAAATACAAAAGCTGCTACAGGCGGGCTTTATTAGAAGAGTGGAGTACTCTGAGTGGGTGTCCAACCCTGTGCTCGTCAAAAAACCGAACAGCAAGTGGAGGATGTGTATTGATTTCACCAACCTAAATGAGGTGTGTCCAAAAGACCCTCATCCCTTGCCAAATGTTGAAAAGCTAGTAGAGCGGGCAGCCGGGCACGAACGGATGAGTTTCCTTGATGCCAGCTCGGGATATCATCAGGTTCAGTTGCTATTGGACGACCACATTTATCAGGTCGTTACAAGGGTTGCAGCTCATGACAGATCACAGACCTTTTCACAAATCAATGGATATCTGAGGTCACCCTATTTAACCCCACTACACGTGCAAGCTGATAAAGTAATAATCAAAAATCTCAGATCGTACTGTGGGTGAGGTCGCATTGTCTCAGCTCGTCATTATGGCTAACTGACAGCATCATCTAGTCGCTTTAGTACCTTCGTTAATAGTCATGGGTCAGGTCATCACACGTTCTCTGGCGCTTACGTTAACGCGGACGAGCTCGCTGAAATAGCGAATAGCACCTTGTGTACATGATTATTCACTGGGCGAGCTCATCTGTTGTGAGCCACTTCAGCTCGTTGCTATAACAAGCCCACACTAATGTGGTTATGGATATCAGCTCGCCTGCACACTTTCAGGTCCACGAGCTCGCCTCTTTTCATGCCACCTTTCAGCTCGGCTACCATCGAGGTCGGCTGCGAGCTGTCAAGGTTGTCCATCATAGTCACCAGCTAGGGCGTTGGCCCACGGACACATTCAACCCAGTTCGTCAACCGAACGCCGGGGAGGGGGGGGGAGTAATGTTGGAATAGGCCCAACATAGACCAAACGACCCAACATCCAAATAGGGCTGTACATAACGGGCCTAGGTTACCGCCTACCAACCCAAGTTGAGGGAACACTAATGCAAGCATACCCACATGGCCAGCACCATGTGGACCAATGAGATGCTTACATGTACAGATGCATGTCAGCACTTGGGGCTATAAATACCCCCCAACTATCTCCGAGGAAGATAAGGAATCTCTACGCTTCTCTCTCTACAATTACTCCTGTATCTCTCTCTAGAACATTGAGTATTGCTAACTTGAGCGTCGGAGTACTTTTCCCGAGGAAACATCCTCGGGATTTTCAAGTGTAGAAGCAGTTAAGAACTTCAACAATGTTGGACTACGAAGCTGCCCAAACACCTAGGTTAGGGGAGAGAGGTTTTTTTTTTTTTTGGAGGAGGCTGGAGATTTTAGGTGATTCTGGGTTTTGATAAGTTTCTAGGGAGTTCGATCAGAGCTGTACCTTGGTTAATCCAAGCTTGCAGCTCCCATTTTAGAAGCAAAACCCGATTTCCAGCCACCCTTTGCTTTCTGTTGATCCAGGATACTTAATTCCTGTGGTCATCGGAGCTCTGTTTACTCACCTCAAACTAAATTAGATCTACGTTCTGGAAGCCTTGTACGCGAAGATCTCGATTTCTTCACTTCATCATTGTAAGTAACTTTCAATTTCAATAAAAATCTCGAATTTTCAGTCCGTTCCTACTTAGATTTTCATTTTTATTTTTATTTTTTGCATATCTAGTTTCAAATATTAAAGTGTTAATTTAGGGCATGGTTAGAACAGTGAACCTAATATCTTTTTGCTGCAACTTTCTTGCTTCTACTTACCCTGTTACAATATGAAGTTACACAAAAATATTATATATATGTATTTAATTAAATTAATTTTTTTAATTTATAATTAATTAGGAATCAAGAGAGAATGACGAAAACCCAAAACTAGGAGTTATTATAATTAGCTAGTACCATCTTATTTATCTTGTTAGGAGGAGAATAAAATAAGTAAAGAATAATCATTTTTATTCACTACATATAATATGAGAATAATATATCTTAATTTTAATTCTCATAAAAAATTAATATTTTATATATAATATGAAAATAATATTATATTTGTAATAATTATTGTAATGTAT